CCCCCCCCCTCCCCACTCTCCGTCCCCCTTCACCTTGCCAAGGAAGCCGCCTTGGATCCGCCTATGACCTTATATAAGAATGCCTCCGTTCAAGACATGTATATTAATAATAATAATGATAATAATAATAATAGTAATGACGACAATAATAATGATGATAACAATGATAATGATAATAATGATAATGATAATAATAATGATAACAATAATGATGATAACAGTAATAATAGTGATGATGATAATAACGATAATAATAATAATGAAATAATATTTTAACGTTAGAAGAAAGCTAGTGGTGTTAAGAAATTAATAAAACTTGGAAAATACTGTAAAATATTTTATAATGATAAGAAATGTTTCGGTCCTACGCATATTAATCTTTTACAATGATATGAAAGACAAGCAGTTTTTATACATTTACATCGAAATTTATTTGCTTTGCAATCTTTATTTGAATTAATTTCACAAATTTTTATTTCTTCCATATTTCTTTCGTGTTTTTTACGTTTTTTTTAAACTGAATATTATATCCGTTTCAGGGAAAATATCAAGTTCCGTTACCGGCAGTCCGAGCAGTCAGTGATGCGGAAGCTTTTAGAGTTGTGAAAACGGGTAAAAGTCGCCGAAAAGGCTGGAAACGTTTGGTAACAAAAGTTACATTTGTTGGCGAAACATTCACACGGAAACCTGCAAAATTTGAACGATTCATTCGCCCGATGGGTCTACGATTCAAAAAGGTTGGTTATTTCCGGAAATTTTTTAATTTTTTTTGCGTTTTTTGAATCTATGCAATGCAAAAACGCATACCGTTGAGGTGTTGTCCGTGCGTGGGTCTGTACCGATTTTTCATCTCGTGAGTGGAATTAAGAGTAGAATTTTGGGAACTTAATCTATACGTATGTACGGGCCTCTGTCCACAATATGGGTACTCTTGCCCCTACGGTACCGTGAAAATTTTTGGCCCCAGGTAGATAACTCGAGTAGAAGAAATCAATTTTAAGGGGACGTTCTTCGTCTAAAGCATAGTTAAATCATTTCAAACTCAACCCACAGGTATGCGTGGTTCTCACGTACGGGCCCGTGAAAAGTTTTCCCAGGTGATTTAGTAACATGGTTAAAAGAGAGACTAGAGGGCTGGAATTTTAGGGGATATTCCTTGTCCGTGTAGAACTTAATGGCTTCAAACAGCTCCCCAGAAGTGCTTGCTTTCCATGTAAGGGCCCGTGAAAGTTTTCTCGGCTAAGTTGGTAACTCGATTAATAGAAAAGCTGGTGGGCTGGAATTTTAAGGGGATGTTTCTTGTCCGTGTAGAATTTGATGACTTCAAACTCGGTCCCCAGATATGCGTGCTTTCTACGTACGGGCCCGTTAAAACTTTTGGCGCATGAGTTGATAACTCGGAAACATGTAAGGCTAAAACTTTGGTATTTTAATGGAATTTTCCCCCTCCAAGTTAGAAATGGATTTCCCAAATTACTGACAATTTTGAACTGTTTTTCTAGAAATCTGGTGTATTAAGGGAATGTTCCTCGCCCATGGGACACTGGTAGAAATGAATTACCTAGGTTTTTGACTATTTTGGACTGTTTCTTTAAAGCATCTCGTACAAACTTGGATCAAAAAACATCCCTTAATAATTGGGCCTGATTAGAACCTTTACTGCCGTTAGCGACAAAAATCTGCGACGGAGTTTGTGAGAAATTTTTATTCGTTTTTTAATCGTATGAATTAAATGAATTGGATATTTGATTATTAAATATGCCCCTCAAGCAAAGTGATTTATCAAAGAAAAATGGGCAAAAAATGGATTTTACATATGCCCAGGCGCCTTGCTACGTTACAATGGTGCGCCACGATAAGGCGCCGGAGTTAAGAAATGGCAGTATACCGATTGCCGATGTGAAGATGCGTTTTTTGCATAGTTCCCCGCATTTTTTGCCGCTACCGGCACCGGTTTTTTTGGCAAATGCCTCTAGCTAAAAGAATTTAGACTGGCCACCAAGGCTCTCTGAAAACATCTCTTTAAAATTTCAGCTTTCTAGCTTCCCTGGTTTCCGAGTTTACAAACTACCCAGAAAAAAAAACTTCCACGGACCCGTGTACGGAGTACCACGCATATTCGAGGGCTGACTTAAAACTCGTTAACGCCTATGGAGGGAGAGCGTCCCCTTAAAATTACAGTCTTTTAGCTTCTCAGGTTCCCGAGTTAGCAGCTTACCCAAAAAAAAAAATTTTGGCGGGCTCTTTGTTCTGTGCTAGGCTTGGTTTAATTGTCAAGTTTATATACAAGTATGTCCGTTATGGGAGATTTTTTTGCAGGCGCATGTAACACATCCGGAACTGCAAACGACATTTTGTCTGCCAATTGTGAGTGTCAAAAAAAATCCATCTTCAACGCTGTACACATCACTGGGAGTGATCACCAAAGGAACGATCATTGAGGTAAATTCCGTTAACTACACTGGGAACTGAAGCACTGTCTTTTGTACTTTGACGTCATAAAACTGGAAAAATCTTGCATTTGCGGGGGATATCAAATGTTGGGAGGCGGGGGGGGGGGGTTCTTCCAACTGTGTTTGGGTAGAACGGGGGTATTGGACAAATAAGAGAAAATTCCTTGCCCAGAGCAATGTCCTCTAATTTTTCATATTTCAGGTAAATATCTCCGAGCTTGGTATGGTGACACAAGGCGGCAAAGTGGTTTGGGCGAAATATGCCCAAGTAACAAACAATCCTGAAAATGATGGTTGTATTAATGCTGTATTGTTGTTGTAATTATTTAAAAAACAATAAATGAATACACCGGTTGTAGTTTTTGTTCGCTAGTCAGCACTATTTGCTCAGAAATTTGATTTTTGTCTTTTGTGTTTTTTTAAAGATTTTTTACATGTTTATGCGTTTTTTTGCATGTATGCAATGCAGTATTAACAAGAGGTTGTCTGTGTGTGTTTGTGTATGTGTGTGTGTGTGTGTGTGTGCGTGTTTGTATATGTGTGTGTGTGCGTGTGTGTGTGTGTGTGTGTCTCTGTACCGATTTTTCATCTCGAGACCTACAAAAGCTACAGGGCTGAGACTTTGGGGACTTAATCTATATGCATGTGCGGGCCCCACCTCCAAAATGGGCGATCTTCCCTTCGTGGTACCCACTTAGGGGCCCTTGAGAGTTCTTTGCGGGTAAATCGTTAACTCGAGGGATGTTCCCCGTCCCCGTTATTCTTAATGAGCTTCAAACCAGTCCTGGGGTATGCATGGTAGCCATGTGCGGGTCTGTCGTAGGATGTACAACGTTTTAATTGGAAGTTTTTTTGTGTATTATTTGGCTGCTGCTTGGTTTCTGTGCTTTTCCCACGATTTTTGCAGCTGAATTTGCTTTTGTAGTACTCGGACATTCGAAGACGCAAAATCACAGAGTAACTTTTTTATTGGAAACAGGGTATACGATTTGCTGCGGATGCCAGTTCCACTGAATTTAGATCAAATGATGGACGAGCATGCGGATTTTGCTGGAGGCTTCATTAATTCTGGAAAATTGGACGGACATCATGTGGAAGCACCATGGCTTATGAAGGATGTTGAACCTTTCAAACAAGGTGCTGAAGCTCGCTTGTACCAGTGCATTTATTTTGGCCGAAAAGCAATTGTCAAGGAACGTTTCGTAAAAAAGTACAGGTGCGGGTAATAATATATTATTATTGGATGGGGATGTATTGTTTTTTGTTTGTTGTTTTGTATTA